AGCCCGATGCGGGACTCGATCCCGGGACTCCAGGATCATGACCTGAGCCGAAGGCAGTCGCTTAACCAACTGAGCCACCCAGGCGCCCAGGAGTGCTTCTTTAATGATTTTCAATAGTTTTATAGTTTTCTTGTAATTAAAGCCGTGCATAATTTTTTTGGTCATTTTCAGGAATCATATGTCTTTGTTGATACTGCAAGTGACATTTTTTAGGAATTACATTCACTGGAGGTAGTGTGTAGAAATGCAATATATTAAAAAATATTTGGGGGCGCCTGGGTGGCTCAGTCATTAAGCATCTGCCTTCAGCTCATGTCATGATCCCAGGGTCCTGGGATCGAGCCCCGCGTCGGGCTCCCTGCTCGGCGGTAAGCCTGCTTCTCCCTCTCCCACTCCCCCAGCTTGTGTTCCCTCTCTTGCTGTGTCTCTCTCTGTCAAATAAATAAATAAAATCTTTAAAAATAAAAAAATAAAAAATATTTGAAATATTTTAAAAATATGATTTTTTTAGCTACTATTTTAAAATTTTAGAACTTTTTCTGGAAATTTCAGATATCATTTTTACACTGATAACTGCTGAAAATGCACATCTTAAAGTGGTTATATACCCCAGGATTTCTTTCTTACAGTGGAGGCAGGAAACTGCTGTACAGGTGGCCATGCATGAGCAAACCTGTGCTATGAAGGGGGTGATGCCCTATGGGGGTACTTTTTACCCGTGGGAGACAGGAGCCACAAATTATTTATTCTTCCTTCTTTCCCCCATGAACTTTTAGGAGACACAGCCATTTCAAAAGGTCTCACTGAAAACAGCTCTGGTCTTCTGGGCTATATACTGAGCTATATTTGTTATCCTTCCATCTCTCTCTCATTCCAGTTTTCCTTCTCCTGCTTCCCTGAGATTACAACCCCCCCAAAAGTGTTATCATATGAGTCTTTGCTTTAGGCTCTGTTTTCTAAACTGGGTTAAAACAGATAAATTTTGGATCATGTGAATCCTCATGAATGACCATGCTATAAATGGATTTTGTCTCTAGGTTCCAGTACACAAACTGTTGTTTGTATAGAAATAAATTTAATTCTCTAAGATAATGAGAAAAGCAAAGGGGCAGATGTAGTATATAAATGAAATATTTATTAAATCAAGGGGAGGCCAATGGACCTCATCAACAAGCTATAGGAAAACTTTCCAGGGGCTTGAATATGGAAAGGGAGATAATTGAATCAACCTATAACACAATAAGAGACTTCACTCAAAAGAACCTGCATTGTAGCAGTCAAATCCACAAGAGAGGATTTAGTTTCATCAAAACACCACCATTCATCTTGTTAATGTAATATTAATTTAAACTTTATTGGTATTGTAGTTTGTTTTAGAGATACTATAAACTTCGGGTATTTAAATTGAACCTAGGGGCGCCTGGGTGGCTCAGTTGGTTAAGCGACTGCCTTCGGCTCAGGTCATGATCCTGGAGTCCCTGGATCGAGTCCCGCATCCGGCTCCCT